ATGTCATCCAAGTTTTGATTGGAATTACATTAACTCTTTAGATAGCTTTGGTTACTATGGATACTTTTAATAATTGAAGTTTTTCTAAACCAGGAAAACAGGAAATCTCTCAATTTATCTGTATCTTTAATTCCCTTCATCAGTGCTTTATAAATTTTAGTCTAAAAATCTTTTACCTCTTTGGTTAAATTGTATTCAATTCATTTCATTCTATTGTAAGTGGAATTGATTCCTTCATTTTTTGAATAGTTTATTGTTTGTGTATAAAATCAACTGTGGAGTTTTGCATGCTCATTTTATATTTTGCAAATTTTCTGGATTTTTAAAATTAGTTCTAAAACATTTTGGTGAAACTCTAGTGTTTTTCATATAGTTGACCGCATGGTCTGCATGAAGGATTACAGATTCCTTTCATTTCATTGCCTTGTGCGACTATTCCAGAACTGTGTTGGATACAGGGGTTGAAATGAGAGTCAGTGGTTCATACCAAATATCAGAGGAAATGCTTTCTGGTTTTATCTCTGTGATCATGACATTACCAGTGGATTTTCAGGTAGGTTGTGATGGTCAACTTTGACCCTCAACTTGACTAGATAGAAGGCTACCTAAAAGATCAGTAAAACCAGCTGTGGGTGTGCCTTTGGGTGTTTCCAGCTGTGATTGGCAGTGAGCCCACACACTGAGAGGGGGGACTCCCCTAACTGTGGGTGCACCGTCCAATAGGCTTGCAGCCCAGCAGGGATGTGGAGAGACAAGGTTAGCCCTGCTTGCAAGCTCCATTCTGCTTATTGCCTGTGTCTTTTACTGCTTCCATTGCCTGTGGACATCACATTTCCAACTCCTGCTCAACCAGGGAGCCTTCAGGGATTTTCAGGCACTGCTTCCGCAGAGCCTCTTGTTCTGTGTCTTCCAGCTTCTGCTACTGAGCAGCAACTGGCTGGTTTGCCTGCCCAACATGCAGAGCTGTGACTCCCCCGCCTCTGCTCCTGTGAGTCTATAAATAAATACATAACACACTTGGGTCTTGGTATGACCCTGTCCGCTCCCTCCCGCTTTCCTCTGTCTCTGACTCCCTCCCCCATTGCCATCCTCCTTGTGGTCATTGTCTTTAGCCCATGTTTACGGCATGTAACGTTCACATGCATAGTGGGTATTTGGTACATGGCACATCTTAATTCTTACTTCCTCTTCCCTCTGCCCTTGCCCTTGGTCCTCAGTCATTGGCTTTGGGGGTCACTAGGTGTGGGACCTTCCGGGAGGACATGGTGCTGATGTTCCCGTAACATGGATGGGGTATCTCAGAGTGCTTCCCCAAGAGAGGGCTCTGAAAGGTGAGACAGTTCTTGTGAGAGTGACCAGGAGATTTAAAAAACAAAAAGCAAAAGAAGCCCCCAGTGGGATGACAGAAACAAGGGCCTCTTGGTGAAATAAAGTTAACTAATTTATAAAGTTGGCAATACCATTTGTAATAAAGTGCATCCTTTAAAGTTATTTTATACTACATGAAATGTACATTAAAGTACTTCTTTGAAGATAGCTCAGTACTGCATTTCTTTAAGAAACATTTCCTACCCGGCTCCCATGTGTGTTCTTAGCTAAATTCCGTAATTTGTTATATTAAAATTTTCAATGAAAGGCAGCTTCTAACACTTGAAAAATAGTTGAAAAGAGTGACTTACAACTTTTGAAAAGAATACATTTTCAATGCATTTTAAAGATGTTAAAATGTTTCTGATTGTTAATTTTTAATTCATTCTCAGGTTAGGGTGAAGCCTTTGATTAATCACCCCTTTGTCATTTCTTCCAATGCTTCTACACTGAGTTGAATTACCCCAAGGTAGTCTAGGTAGTCAATCAGGTTTATAATCTGAGAATTCTAAATGATGGGTATGTTTTGGATGGTTATAAGATATAGAAAAGTACTGGAAAATCTGAGAAAACTTTACTCTTTTATACAAACATCATTTTAATTTCAATCTGCAATCATGATGCTTAATAACTTTCTATGTTTAGTTTTTACCTGATGCCAGCACTGTAGTAAACACATGACATATGTTGGGTTACCTCTCTCTGGTAACAGTCTCATGAATTAGGTATTGCTTTCTCCTCTTCACAAATTTGCTGTGAGAATTAGAGCCGTCTCATAGCTCATCTAAGTTTACACGTAGTAAAGGGAAAAGAGAGAATTCAAACCTGTTTGTCTGACTGCAGAGTTCAGCGTTGTTAGTTTTGCTGTTCCTCCCACTTGTATAAGTATCAGTGCGATAGGAAAAGAAGAATGACCAAAATCAGGGTATTCACGATGAAAGCGAGAGCGCTTGTTACCTGTGGGCACGCGTAATTGCATTTCATGTTCAGAAATATGTTAATGAGGTTGAAGGAAGTTTGAAAATTTGTTTCCGTGATAAGAAAATTCTGGCAAGGAGCTAGTATCAGTTCTCGTTCTGACCGATTACACAAGAGTCACACCACACTGACTTCACAGAACTGTGTATTCTAAAAGGAAAAGCTTAATCAAATGGTAGAAAAGACAACACAATTGCTAATCCCAAATCACATTACTTTATTATTATAATAGAAAATATACTTTTCTCTTACATGAAAGTGACACAAGTATAGGTGCAAATGTGTGTGTGTGTGTGTGTGTGTATGCACAAATTAATAGATTTTTAAAGAGCATAAAGTTAGAACCTCATATCTGATTTTACTTACCTGGAGTTACTAATGATTTGAGACTCCAGAATGCATTCACCAGTGCACCAGAGCGAAAAGAAGCACAACTAACCTCAGCAGAAATGTCAGGGATATTAATGTGGCTTTTTTAAGCCTCTATAGCTGCTGACTTGGTTTTAATTGATAGTCTGTGATGCTAAGAAGACAGGATTCTTGGCCGGGATAGCAGACAATATCTTGTACAAAACTGTGAAGGCAGAATCACCTAAATCCAGTGTTTCATTTTTTGACTTGCTATGTAAGATAATAAAACACATAAGTAAAATACCATGAAAAGCAAGTCTGCCTTAACCTTGTAGTGCCCGGCATAGCAGTGAGGACTGGGTCACTCTGCTCTCTTGGATGGCTGCTTGGGTACAGATATGTTTTCCTCTGTCTGCGTGCATGATGAAGAGCTTTGCTTCTGTAGGAATCAGCCTAAAACTACTTTTTTAGATACACCTTTCTTTAAGGTTTTAATCTAAAGTCACTGAGCTGATTCTAGGTTTCCTCTGAAAAGGCACCATGTAATAGACCACATAACACATCTCAAATTTTCATTGATTAATTTTCTACTCACTTGTTTATTGTGTGTAGTTTCTACTGAAATATAATTCCCCCAATACCATATTAGTAGGTAATACATCTTCTGTAAAGAAGTGCTAGTGAGTAATTATTCATTTATAAAAAATGCATCTATAGGCTTTTTAAGCCTTAGATATGCAAACAAATGCTCTACAGCAAAATCACAATTTTTATAGCAACATTTTTGTCTGCTATCTCTGACAGAAGCCTTATCTTCATAAATGGTTCTAGGAAATGCAGATATGTATGCACTTCTGAATCACCAAATCCTGGACTTTGAGTCAAAATTGAAAATCAATGGAGTCCACTGAAAATGGAGTCCATTGAAAATGGAGTCCATTGAAGATCAACGGACTTTCAGTTCTCTTTCCTAGTAGAAGTTATATTGATTTACCTTGTTGATGTGTACACTCATATTTCTGTCATACTGAATATCTCAGAAGAAGCACATGTAACACTGATGTTCCAGAAATATACAATGTACTACAATGCACAGTGATTTAACAATGTCAATAAATACTTAATTGCTCGAGGAAACTAAAATTTTTAGAACAACAGGGACAAGAAGTGCCACTTCTATGAGATGCTCCATGACCATTAATAATTTCCAAAGCTCAGCAATCTTAATAAACACCATTTCTCTATAGTAGTGTCAGCTCACCCATAGGGAAGACTATTTCACTGCACATATCTTTATATTTTCTGATGCAAAATGTGTGAATAAAACAATTTAGAGTTTTTTTTCTGCAAAAGTGAACTTTTCATCTTTCCAACTTTGTCATAAAGCCCAATTTTCAGCAGTCTTAAAAGCACCTTGTTAAAGTATATTTTTGGTAAGAAAAAGTCACACGTGCACTGATGCATGTGCGAGAATTCCTCAATGACTTGGCGAAGTGCTCCTTTCCCCGGTCTTCCCACCAGTTGGTTGAGAAACTTCCCCTAAGTACATTGCTCTACCTCTACACTCCCTGGAGAAGGTTGTCAAGGGTTTGAGGAGAGAACTATTTGTCTAAACTTAGGTGTGTTTAATATTTTAAAATGCCAGTACATCCAAACCATTTACTAGCCTCCTCCTGTGTAACACAAAAGTGGTGGTAATATGTTATTACCCTGGCTCTGAACCTTTTTATATGTCATGTATCAAAATATCTTTTAATGACTGTAAAGGGTTTATGTGTATTTAAGCTTAGAAAAAATGCAATAAAAAAGCTCAAAGGAACAATACCTCTTGACTTTTGGTAGGACTAGTAGGTCTTCAGATTTAAGACTTAATAGTTTTTAACCATGAGACCACTAAATAAGTGAAGTATCATGTCATTATACACGAAGTCAAACTCAACAGAACTGAAATAACAACAAGATCATTAACACACTAGAAGTTCTGCTATGGCAAACAGAAACACCGAAATGACACCCAGGATTTGGAGGGAGATTTACTTTTACAATGATGGGTACTAATCAAGATCATTCCCAGAATATCAGGCCCTGATCTCTGGTGGTCTAGGGCTTATACGGGATAAGCAAGCAGGAAGTACAGAGGAAGAATGGCTTGTCAGTTGGGGACTGTTTATACAGTGTGCATCACAGTGACCAGCTGTGCATCAATGACCAGCTGTTTCTAAGAGACAGGAGCAAATGGAACTGGAATAGGAACTATCATCTGGGCAACTAAGAAGCTGAAGTATACTGGCTGGGGCGGGGAGGTGCGTGTTTTGCTACACTTCCCCTCTCTTTTAATTTTTCTGGCAAATCTTTGCTGGGCCTGCTACATGTGATCTTCTGAGACAAGACCCAGCTGGTAGCAGTAACATTCTGGCTCTCAGTGATCCTAGGATGGCCCTAGACAAGGTCCGCAAGCCTTACAATTCCCACCAGGAGTGTGTGGTTTGTTTTCCTTATTGTACGGTTTCTGCCTAAGTTGACTCTGACAAGGGAGTGAAGGAGGTAATCTGAGGTAGTCCAATGTGCCTTGGACACTCATCAAATCTCTATCATTTGTAAAGGCCTTATTGGTTATTCTCCATTCTCTTGGGACAATCACCCAGAGAACTATAGCAAAGCAAGGGCTGGGGTAAGCAGCCTGAGAAAAGCACAAAAATCAAGGGAAGTACTGCATTGAAGTGTGAAGCAGTCCTGTGAACGGCGTCCTCAGGCTTCTGCTGTGTGTGGACTGGTCAGCATTGGAGTGACCAGACCAAGGTTTTGAATGCACTGTCTCTTCAGAGTAAGCCCTGGAGGATTTGTCTAGACCTGGTAAATTCTCCAGAACTCTGTAATGGTGGACCTAAAACTGGATTTCTGAAACTTGTAGAGGTAATTCGTATGCACCATGTGTGTTATATGTGTGTGTAGGAATGTCTACAGGGATAGTTGGTCTTTTAACTATATTTTATGTAGCTGTTCCTCTAGGGTTATGCTTTATTTTTTTCAAACTTTTTAGAGCTTGTGGCCTGTATGCTGCATGTAGTTTTTGTTTAATCTTTAATAATTCTACTAGCTTTGGGTTATCTCTGCTACAAGTGCAGACCCATTATCATTGCCAGCAATCAAGGGTGAGCCACATCTAAGGACAGCGGGATTCTACAAACTTCTGTTGTCTTGGCCAGCCTGGGTAGGTGCAGATGAGCACTAAGTCATGCCAGGTAGAGATCAGGGACAGTGACACAGCTATTGAAGCCTGAGCTGGCTGCAAGGGTACAGGTATCAGCCCTGTGGCTTGAGTTTGCAGGACATATAGTGTGGGCAGGTTTGGCTCTGATTCAGATGGATCTTCTGGTAGTATCAGGCAAAGTCCTTTTGGCTGGGGTTGATGTTTCAGTCAGTGGGATCCCTGGAGGGGGCTAAGGCCTCTGGACTGGATTATTTTGAGCACAAGTTTGGCCAAAATTGCTTTGTCCTAGGTGACCACACCATCTAGCCTGTCAGACTCTATTTTTAAAACAGCTACTTCCATCTATAAACAGGGTATAGACAGCATCTGTCAGGAGGTTCATTTTTTAAGTCTGATAGTCTCAAGAACAGTTTATCAGGCAGTTCCAGGCAATCAGGATCTGCTAGGCCCAGCTCTGTGTGCAGGTACATGGTAGGACCAAGTGATTTTATCTCCACAAGAGTCAGGTGGGTAGTTTTGCAGTCAGGTGGCAATGGGTGAGATCCAGTACGGCCTTTGGCACCTGGACAGTTAGGTCTCAGTCAAGGTGAGCCTGTCAGCTTTCTTAATAAAGGACAGTGGCTGTTAGAGCACACAGGCAAAGGGGGAGGCGGGCCTTAGTGACTGGATCCAAGTATTTACACAGGTAGGACACTGGGTGCTCACAGGGGCTAAAAGGCTGAGTAAGCATCATCATTTTTATGAACTCAATGATCCAGATTCTGTGGAAGCCAGCAGCTCCAAAAATTGGTGGAGCTTCTTCCTTGTAACCAGTTTCTACCAGATATTACAGTAGAGCTTTTGTGTCTTTCCAGTAGGCAGCTTGGGTGTCACTAATCATAAGTGCTTTGATCAACTGAGAGGGCTTCTCCAAAGAGTGTAAACAAGTTTTTGAACCTCTGGGAGGTTTTGTCTAGGTCAATTGACTTTTGAGTCCAGAAGCGGGGTCTTTTCATTTAGAGGCAAAAACGGCCTGGCTAACAGGAATCAGTCAAATAAGAAGGCATTCTTTAGATCCAGGCAGGTGTATCAGCAGGCTGTGGGCGGCAGAAGACTGAGGCAACATATACAGAGGGCAATCATGGTGGCATCGGCAGCTCAGAGGTATTGAACTGGTTTTACAGATAGGACTGGTATATTTTAGCAGTTTGACAGGCAATAGACATTTTGTGTTTTTGAAACATCATTTTTCTTTCTCAAGGGACTGTGACAGAGATGAAAGGGACACAGAAACAGGCTGTCCTGGAGCCAAATCTATTGCTTAGTCCTCCTCCAAAATAGTGGGAGAGTTCCCAAACCCTTGTGGTAATTCAGTAACAGTCCATAAAGGGTGTATGGGCTGGGAGCCACAGAATGCAAAGTGATGGCCGTGTTGTTGACAGCATGGAGATCTTGCCCAAGGCGATTTACAGTCTATCAGGCTGGTGTGTGGGTGATGCCTGTTAGTGCTTCCTGTGACATCTGACAGCAACAGGGGTAGAGGTGAGGCAGCATGGTTTATGGCCAGGCCTGGAGGAGAGTCTTTAGCCCATATCTCGGGGAGCAGAGTTTTCAGAATTTCAGGATTGCGTTTAGCTGTCTCAGGCTGACGCAAGCATCCTCTTTCTATCAGGAAACAATGAGAGTTGAAAGTGTGGAGTTAAAGAAGAGGGAGGCTGACTGGTGCAATTGAGACACTTGCTTCTAACTTGAAGAAGAGGTCTCTTCCCAGAATCAGTACAGAGATTGGCTTACATAGGAGATGTCCTACACATTTGTACCCGGCAGATGGAGTAAGAGGCAAGAGTCCCGGTTGCCCCACTGATGGTAGCTTTTTGACAGAGAGAAGTTTTGAGGGCAGAAAGTTCTCTTCCATTTTCGACCAGGAAAGGCACTGGTTTGCCCCTGACTCTTACAATGACCATGGCTCTCAAGGGCCCAATTTGATAGAGCTCAGTCTGTCCTATCCATCCAGGTCCAACAGGGCTTGCTGGGGCAACTTTGGGAAAGGCCATGGTGACTCATTCTTCAGGGATGACAGTCCAACTTTTCTCAGTCAAAATGTGGAACTCGGAATTGCTGACAGTCATCTTGGGTGGGTGTTAGATGACGCCATCTGACCCTGACAGGCACGTAAGCAGAAGGCTCTGGAGGGAGCACCTCTGTGGGCACAGGCGGGCATGACTGGTCAAAGTGAAGCTGGTTCAGTAGGCTGGAGGTACACTGGCTGGGGAAGGGCGTCTTCTGCTACAGTTCAGTTGAACATACTTATGCACTGGACAGCTCGAAACAGAAAATGTAAAATTTTAACAATACAGTAATTTCATGGTACTAAAGCTTTTCGCTCTTAAATAGCATTTACTAATTATTTTTTTACTAATTATTTTTAAATCGAACAATGTTTTAATTTTGTGTTCTATATAGTCATAAACATTACATGTAAGACATCACAAAATAAAATTATGCTAAAAACATGGTCATTTAGTCAAAATCCTATTGTGGGATATATTCAAATTTCCTCTTCAATTTGACAACACGGGGTTAGTAGAGCTGGGTAATGCCCAGGTTTGGCACTTAGTATCTTGTGACACAGACATTTTAATTTATTCCCCCAGATACAGTATAGGTTTTTAAAAATATACTAGCTGCAATCACGTGGATTATCATTGAAGGATACACGTAAGAATCCAGAAAAATAGACTTCTGATTTTTATTTGATTTATTAGGAAGATTATAAGAAAATAAATTGAATAATTCCAGGGAGGTAATAGATATCTGGAGCGCATGGTATACAATGGGAACCTGGATGATCCTAAATCACCAGTCAGTTATCAAGTTGTCCTTTTCATACAAGCCCAGTCTTCATCGAAATCTTTAGACACTGCTGTGGCAGTGAGGAAGATTGGTAGGAGGTTTTGGTTTAATTCATCTGCAGTTAATACAGTGTGGTCTTGACTCAGCCTTCTGCTATGAAAGCCTAAAATTTACCTCTGTGATTATTAACTTGAATTCAAAATATCTATGAACATTCTGAAAGTTATGTGCAAAATATTCCTAGAAATGAGTGAGGAGATTTTTAGATAGGGGGTCGATATTTTTGTGAGATTCACAAACAGCCTCTGCACCTCCCTGAACAGGGCCAAGATCTCCTGGGACCTAAAAATAGACACTGGTTTTTGAAAGGGTGAAAGGGGGCTTTTATTTTCTGAATTTAAAAGTACCATCTACTTATGTCCTTATATTTTTAGATAAATGTAATGTTTCATACATAATATATTCAAATATTCTCAAAAATCAATGAAAATTTTTCCTTTAAAATTTGAAAATTAAATTTAAGCATCTTTATGATATAATCCAGTCTCCTTTGGAATGTTGGGATTTTCTTTTTGGTGACAGACCTGAATTCTTCACTTTTTTTTTTTTTTTTTACTTTGTTATAAAGAATCACCTCGTCTACCGACCAACATGTATTCTCTTTATGAAGTAAAATCATATATTTTACCACCTATGATAACGTTTTCACCTTATCTTTAGTGATCCACATTGCATGCATTTGGCATTTGTTAAACTACAAGAAACCCTGGCTATTAGGCCCACTCATGAGAAGGTACTTTCTTTGCATACTGTCTATTTTAACAAGGGCTGTTTGTCATTTTTTAATAAAGATTTCAAATGGTAAGCTCAGTGAAACATTTATTTTAAGTACTTCTTTTAAATGTTCTTTTGCTTGATGCGTTTCAAGTATTATAATACATTTGCATTTCATATTTTAGCAATAAAATTATTCAGAAGCATCTTATGGCACTTTTGTCTTCACTGACCTCAACTTTTTCTGATGGGGTCTGTTTTTTTCCACTTTTCACCCGCTTTTCCTCAGCTAATTGTTTGCACCACTTCCTGTTAGAACTCAGCTAAGCTGCATCTTCCAGCTTTCCCGAACTCATTAAATTTCTTTTGCAACCATTGTGACTTGTCTAAATCTTATCAAAATTAAATTACAAATTTATTTGTCTTTCACTACTTTTACTTTAACCACCCTGTAGTCTATCCAACTTTTTAGCCATTATATTGTATCAGACTTTTTCTGAATAGAACCACTGAATTAACAATGACCTGATCCCTTCCAGGGATTAGTCAGACACTGTATTTCCTCAGTATAATCAGGTTTGCCAATGAAAATACAAGGTAATTAGCAGGCAATGTAGGGGGAGCCTTATTTGGACATGTTTGACCTCAAAGTAGGCAGAATCTGAAATTCAGACCCGATGGCAACAACATATTTAATTTTAAAAGGCAAACAATTAACTTTTACTTTTCCTATCACACAGGAATAATTATCTAACAAAATAGTGTTTTCAAAATACAATAGAGTTTCCATGGAAAACAAGCTGAGTATCATTAATAGATTGTTTAAAGAAAAATGTTTTCATAATGATCAGTCTCTTGCATATAAACATAACTACAGACTCTGTAATTTCAATTTAGTACAGGTGGAATTACAGATCTTTAAACTCTTCCTCCCTAATTTTCTTCCCTCTATTGAGGGCACAGAGTTAAAAGCCTTGGAAATAGCCAGTTCATCTTTCCTGTAGCCCTTTCATTAAAATGCATGTTACTTTGAGAGGATTATTTATGGTGGTCTCTGCAAATGAACTAAGGACAGACACTGGTGAACAGTAAGTTGGCAAAGTCACCAAATTAATTGCATGGCAAGAGAGTACAAGAGAGAGCAGCGTGGATGTGCAAGAGTTTCATTAATTTATGAGATTTACTTGCTTTTGATAATGTTCATACAAATACAATTCTCCAAATATTTTTATTTAGTTTATTTAATTTGCAAAGAAACAACAGAAGCTCATCAAATGGACTCATTATTAAAATGTTAAAGATAGTCCCAAAGTCATAAATGCTGCTTCTGTACCATGGTGGATTTGTACTATGCCTAGCGTCTCTGATCAGTGTACAGGTGAGGTCATTGCTCTTTCAGTTTTATTAATAAACCTATTAGTACATAAATAGCCTTCCGGCCCTTCCTAAACCAAGGAAAATAAAATAGTTTCATTGGCTGCAGGGTTATAGTTATCCTTGAAGCACTCTGTTTACAAGAAAATGTTTATCTTGAAGACTTTTTAAATTGGATTCTGTTTTTCGTATTTCCAATTTTATAACCAGAAATACACTATTCTTTGAGGCTTTCTTCTATTTTCATTGAAAAAAGCCTTTAAAATATTAGAGGAAATTCCAAGAGAAGATAAAGCATGGGTCTTGTCAAATTGGAAAATTTCATTAAAAAGAAATATGAGAATAAGTGTTTTGGCATCAAAGAAGGGCATTTTATTATATTGCAGCAATATTTCATAAGGATGAAATATTTTAATTTTCAAATGACCTTCAAGGTAGGAAAATAAGAATGCACTGGTCGTAGGTCAGACCTGATAGTATTCACTGGATAGTGGAGGATGAATAATACAGTCTTTCTTTCACAGACTCATACTCTGACAAGCTTATGGGTTCTCCAGCAAGAAGGGGCATCTGTCCGCTGTGTGAAAGCATTGTGTCCCTCAGGGCTTCTCCGGCCCAGACCGGCTCATTGGCTTCATGGGTGACATGCTAAATTGCTTTGGTTACAGTGCTGCTCAGAAATGATCTCAAATCAGTGATTCTTGTACACCTGCTTTGTGTCTAATACCTGTTATTATAGGTTAGAATTCACTGAATATCTGTTCCAGTTTACAAAGGATTCACGGAAGCCGTGCGGGAACGAGGTAAGTAAGGAAACGGAAGTGAAAAGGAGAGGTGTAGAAGATGCGGGTTGGTAGCCGATCTGCAGTGAGAACGAGTAGTTGGCTACTGACTGCACTAAGGCATGCAGACGAGGGGAAAAGAACGAACAACAGCGACGACGGCAATTAAACAGTTCACTTCAACCACTTCCTGCTTGGGTATAGACAGTCTGACAGTACTGGCGATGAGTCACTTTCAAGAATTATTGGAAAGCAACTGGCAGCTCTCATTTCTGCAGCACTGATACTGGGTTCAGCGCTTGGCAGACGACAGACAGTAGAATTCTTGTTGAGTGAATCAATTACTTTATTAATTAAAACCTAATGCGAGCAAAAATGTCCATGATAACACATTTCACTTCAGATTTTTTGACATAATCTTTAAATTTAGAATATTATACTTCTCTGTACAAGCAGTGTAAAAGTAAGGGAATGACTCAAACAGTTGTTTAAAATTTTTATATCTGAGTTGAAAAGCTAAACCTCAAGCTTCTTAGACCTTCAGTGATTTAGTCCCTCACACAGTGTGTGATAGGGGCTGAGAAGAAGATTTGGGAATCAGCCCCGCCTAACTGGCTCACCTAGCTAAGCCCTCAGAAAGATTTTTGCCAAATGCACGTTTATACTTGAGTGTCAGAAATCATGTAAAGAAGACTTCTCTCTGTGAAATTTCTCCAAAGCTGGAGAAGATGTCAAAGTGTTTCCTTTGAAAACTTAGGTTATATACTTCTCAAAAAGTACTAAGTTCTTAAAGATTTGTTCAGCAACACTGACAGCCATCTCAAAGCTAATGAGGAAGTGGAATAAATTTAAGTTCACATTCCATGAAAATTCATAAGCTCTAAAATAACTCCTTTTAGAAGAACAAAGCTATTTAAAATACATATATATTGTTGAAAAGAAAAGTAATACATTTCAGGGCATGACAACCATGGCTGTTGAATGTTTATAAAGATATTAGGACTGTACTCTATTCACTTTCTGGGATGTCAGGTGTTTGGAGTTTTTACAGATATCAGCATATGTGTGCTTGGAAGAACCACCACTGGGTGGTCTCCCGTGGCCTTCTCTGGTCTCTAACCAGCGAGGACCCACACACTCCCTCTGACCCCCACCCACCCCTGCCCCAGTGAATGCCGCAGAAGTGCTGTGTTTGCTATGCTCGCACATATCTAATGAGAGCTGTGCTTTGCTTTCTCCACAGGAAGAAAACGTTCCTTTTCATTTCTACGTGTGAACTCCCAGAACTCACTGTTGGGAGGTTAATGTTTTCCTAATTTTAAGCACTTTAAGGTTGCTTTCACATCCATTTCCCAGTTTTCATACATTTCCAAAAGATAGCGCTGTCAAAATTTAGGAGCGACCTGATTCATGGAAATGACAGTTAGCCAAATGTTCAGGTATTTTATTTACTTATCAATACTCTTCTTAGGACAGCCTTAAGAGATGCAAGGATGTCTCATTTTCTTGTCCTGTGGGACAGCAGGCAATTTATACATAATAACTGTTGCCTTTTCCTAACATATTCACTTTGCTTATAAACAATGATTGTGTTTTAGGTTTGAGGATGTTTACCAAGTGATTAACAATTTGTAAAAGCCCTGACATGGCTGATGTAAAATAATATAATTCAATTTTAAAAGCTGTAATTTCAGGTTATACAATTTACACTGCTCTTCCTAGTAAAGGTAGCATCCACAGCCTCCCTGTCAGGCATGATTGGATAATGTGATACATTACCTGATTACAGAATGATTCTGGGAAAACAACCCATTTCTCTGCATTAATCTGACTTGTTTAATGTCCTTCCTCTCTCTGCATGCAGATGAGGTGCTCTGCACCAACCTAATTCTTTTTTATGTGCATTGGCTGTTTTTTTTAAGCACAGTTTTCTCTAAACTGCCTGAATAACGACAGCTTTGTGAAGTTCTCAGTAGTTTTTCAACCGTGTTGGATTTTAATTTTGTGCAGTTCCCCTCATGGCAGAATGTGTGGGTTGTAACAAGAACCTGAAAAACATGCAAAGTGGTAGGTTTCAATACTGTATAACCGTACTTTAATATTGCTAAGATCGGTTTGAATTTTTACAGCATTTTTCATGAGGTAGTTTCAGCACACTTCATTGTTATTTGTAATTGTTATATTTTTGGAAAAGGAGTTAAAGAGGGTGACGAAGTAGACCATTCAATTTATATAGAAAATGAATAAATGAAAATATTAGAGAAAAATCTTCTGAGATTTTAAAATGTTTTATTGATTGAGAAAAATGAAATCATTGGGCCGTTGTTGGGTACTACACTTCTTGTATATTGTGCTAGAACCGCTCCCGTCACTAAGGGGCCACAACTCTCTTTGGGGAGCCATCGGTGACTGTCCTGAGCGCGGCACAGCCTGGGGCGCTCACCGCTGCTCTTCGGGGCGCTCTGCGCCCTGTGATTTTCCACCTCACCAGAGTGCCCAGAAGAGCCGTGGTGCTCTTTGTCCACTTACAGCGTTGTTGGCACGTTTTTACCCCTGATTCTGACGGTTGTAAGGTCCATTTTTATTGATGCGAGCAAGAAGTTTAGTCTCCGTTAATTTTTTAAAAATTTAATAGCAGGAAAGTTTTATTAAGGTAGGAAAAGAAACAGGCTCTGCAGAGCGAGTTTGGGCCAAGAAAAGTAGGACAAGAAGTCCACCCTGCAGCCCGAGGGGGAGGACATGAGGGAGAGGACACAGTGGCCTCTGCTGCGGTTCTTAAGCTCTACGTCTTACCTCGTGTATTCTTTGGACACTGTGTTATGGGTTACTGACCTCAGTGTCTGGCTAGGTTTTGTTCTGTTTTTGTTCACAGGCCTCAGTACACAGGTCAGAAAACATCTGAGCACTTTGATCCTTGCTCAGAATAGCCGACCACAAGCCGGAGGCACTCCCCTGTGATGACACACCAAGGACATCGCGGCTGCGTCAGAACTGCCGGATCCCACGCTCACCTCCCGCTGCACACAGGGGGAGCAGCGGTGAGCGGACGCTGCGGTTTGGAGACCACCACTCTCCTAAGGAGTTGACTATTTCTGGAATATTTATATTCATTTTCTCAGTCTGAATGATTTCTCTACTCACCCCTGTATTAGAATTTCCAATAATAATAATAATCATAATAACACTAACAACAACAACAACAAATACACAACATTTGCTTTGCACCAGGACATATTTGAAACTGCTCACATAATGTAAATAGGCCAAGTATCTCATTTAAATTATAGCAGGAAGTTTTCAGACCAGAAGTTAGAGTATACCGCTAGATTATCTCTGCTTGCCTAGCAGACATGGAGATCAAGATATTATATTCCATCTTATAAAAAAAAAAAGCAGACCTTTGAACATCTATCACACTAAATGATAGCAAAACTTTTGTGTTAGCATAATCTGTGCTCAGTGGGTGTTCAGTCTATACTGATAGGCTTTCTCAAAACAGCTGAAGATCTCTAGTTAATGTCTTATATTTTAACATAGATCTGCAAGAGCTTCTGTGACTGCCTATGTGGTCATCTGGAATAGGTTCTGCATCACAGTAAACTCCCATTTACCATACCTTCTATTTCAGCATCTTGCCCACTGGGAAAGTCATAGAAAAGAAGCCATAATAGGTCCATCCATATAAAGAAAATCCCATAGTTCTCTGGTTCTGAAAAGGAGAGAGGGTATTACGGGTATGAATGAAAGAATAGCTTCCTAGGTAACTCTTGATATGTCGTTGTGTGTAATTGGCATGGCATCACTGATCCACACGCATCACACACACACAAAGTGGCCCACATGCCTGTGGTTAGAGTTTGTGTATGTTTCCGAGGCTAGGGCTCTCTCACAAGGCATCTTTATTGCTTTCTCATTTTGCCAAAACAAGAAAGGTTTCTGGTAAGAGTCTCCTATTGATTTCTTTATGGTTAGCTTCTTCAATCACTTAACTTTTCACATCTTCATGTCTTTAACACTTCCCTGGTAGCACATTGCTTTCTTACCAGCAAAACTCGAATTATGGTTTTCTGGAGTCAGTAGATAAGAATACTGTACAGTATGGCTAATGATTAATCTCTGTCTCAGCTTGATACACTATTATTTGACTCACTCAACATGTAATGTGTCCTTGTTATCTCAATCAGCTCATTGATTTGATTAATTGGTCATTTCATTTTGTTGTATTGGTTTATCGGTTAAGGCAATGTATCTGGATGTGTAGAAATAAATCACTTTTACTATTATAAAATCCTAATTACTGGTGTTTCATGGTTCCTTAGGGTGGATGGAAGATTCTCTCTCAGGCTTCTGGTGCCAAGATAGGATGGCCTCGTGGTTTGATGCGTGTCAGTCGCTGCTCTCTGGGACAGCCAGCCTGACCGTGTTAGGTCCACACCTGTTAGCTTCCTCCAAGAAGGCTGTTTGGATTCATATATTTTTCCCAAAGTGTAAGAAAAGTTCTTTACGAGCCATTAATACAGCCAGTTGGACTGGACAGTTGCTCTCCGATACAGCAAGCTCTTCCCACCTCTGATGCCGCAGACTGTGGACAACAAGGATTTAGAAAGCTGCTTGTGGCACAGCCCGGGGGCCCTTGCTTCCACCTTCTCTGTGGCATCCTCACTTTTGGCAGGATAAATTCCCAGCTTTTATTTTCAAACCTAGGAGTCATTTCTGAAAGAGCTCTGAACCTTAGAGCTCTATGTGACGATATAGAAGGCTAGATTTGTGTTTAGCTACTTCCTAACAAATATTACAAATACACAATATCTGTAAACTAATTATTACAATTAAAGAAGGTCACAAAGAAAAAATAAACATGTTATTAGTCATGTTACATATATATGTGTGTATATCTAGTCCACTTATAACTTGCGTTCTTGCTTTAAAAATGTTTCATAGAATTGTGTTTACCTATCAAAAGGTATATTTACCCAACTACTGAAAATATATCCCATTAACTTATTTTTTCTTTCTTTCTTTTTTTTTTCCAATACTGGGAATTGAACTCACGATGTGCACTTGCCAGGCAGGCGCTGTGTTGCTGAGCTAAATCCCCAGCCCTAACTTAGTTTTTCTAAATATGTGATTTTAGAGATTTCAAAGAAAACACAAAGCACAGCTTGAAGAAAGCAGCCATTAAGCTTCTACAAATGCAGGACATGGGTGAGCTGAGGCTCCTGCTGCTCCAGAGATCTCAAACGTCCCACAGCACCCTGAGGCCGGCTCAGGTGCAGAAATTGGGCGAGGAAGGCAAGTGTGGGGTCGAGGTGATGACATCCACCCTCCGCTCTTGATCTTGTGTAAATCAGGTCATGATTGTTTGTCTGTTTACTGCCTTGGGCCAACACAGCCTCTCTGACCTTCAGTCCTTCCCATCAGGGGAAGATCCCGAGGTAGCTTCTCCTCTAAAGGCATCTCACGTTTGATTTCCTTTTTGTTTTGAAACAAAGGTTATCCTCTGGGGACTGGTGGGGAACATAGCGGTGGGTGGTCTTTGTCTCCCCAGTCACAGTTTCTAATGTGCTCACCTCTGTGTGATCCATGAAGACACTTTGGCCTCTCTGCCTCATCCACTGCAAGTTGTCACCGCTCAGTTTTAAGCAATCCTGACAGCAAGAGGGAAGGTATGCCACGGATGTCTCCCTCAGGACACAGTGCTCTGCCTCTCAGGAGTACCATTCTATCCATGCAGCCCTTATGCTTCTGAATACCAGAGTCCAACACCCACACTATCTCCCAAATATGTTGTGCAAATTTCTGCCAACTTACACTGTCAGGACCCATGGCTATTTTGGTAAATAAGATGTTTCCTTCTGCAATAATGACCATATTTCTCTGCATGGTGTTGAATTTTGCTTCGCTCTCCAGAATAGGGGAAATAGCAACAGGAGGGGTCAGGTCCTACCAGAGGTGAACGCTGGCGCATGAGGCACCATCCCAGGTGGAGCCCGTGCACAGCCCCCAGCACAGGGGGTTTCTCCACCAGCGCTGATTCCTGGAACGCTTCAGGGTTGTTACTTCAAATGCCCACCTTTCATTCTGAGTTTCCTACCCCTACATGGGCCCTAGCACTACTTTGGAAGACCTGCCAAGTTTTGTCTTCCTTATCCCTTGAAACTTTGTTATAGCTATGATAAAAGTCTGGGCCTGCATTTCCTCACATCAGATATTTCTTTACGTGGGGCACTTGGGTTGGATGGCAGACCCTGAGTTGATAATTATCTAATCTGAGCATTTCATTTTCTCTCAATACTACTAGAGCATCACCACAGTCTTTATGATGATTTTTTTCTCTTCCATCTTTTAAGTGTTAAAGTACTTAGCTCCTGATTTCACCTTCACTTGATCTCATGGCAGTCTTAGGTATCTGGTGCTCAACCATGATATTCACTATTATCATATCTCACAGCAGCAGTGCAGTGCCTGCTGCTAACTGGTGACTAATCTAATTCCAGGGTCCGTCTGGAGTGTCTCCCCCACTAGGGTTCTCAGAGAAACGTGTTCCTACGCGGGACACTTACTCACCCGCTCCCACCAGTCACTGCTTTGGTTCAGGTTGGTCTTGGAGTCGCTAACTCCACACTGTTCTGGGATATGCACAGTGGGCAGAGAAAGACCCTGCTGCCTGGGAGCAGCTCTGAAGCTGGAAGAAGAAAGACTTGCCATAGGGCGCAGGGCTGCCCATGTGTGGGAAACTGTCACAGCCAGATGCCAACTCAGAAGAAGGCCAAACCCCACTCCCACACCTTCTCTGCCAGTGATTTACACCGTTATCCACTCCTGGCCAGTCTTGTTCCTTCTACTTCCACCTTAATGCACCTGTCTTCAGCAGTGTTATAACTTTCCCTGTGTACGTGCAGATATGCATTTCTTAGAAGTAATAGTTGCTAAAAAATATAACCACAAAAATATTGCTATACCCCAAAAAAGACACGCATTCCTGAGCAAGACCAGTATCACTGGGCACGATGGTGTGCCTCTGCTAGCCCAGCTAGTCTAGAGGCTGAGGCGGTAGGATCATGAGCTGAAAAACAACCTGGGCAACACAGTCAGACTCCCATCCAAGCAAGCAAGCAAGCAAGCAAGCAAGCATGGGTGCAGGAAAACAAACAAACTCAAGTATTGTCAAATATCCTCAACTGAGAAATTCCTCAGTTTGTCTTGTTTGAATTAGAATCTAAAAGTACTCCAGATATTCAAATTAATTTTAAGTGTTTGAATGTAGTCTCTCTCTTCCTTTAAAAATGTAGTCATAGCAATGTCTCTGAGTTGTCTGCTTTAATTTCCATTGTGTTGCCGTGCTTCTGTCTGTCTTGTATTTTCTGCAAAGTCATATTTAGATCAGCAGTCATAGCCAACTGTGTTATAATCATTGATGACCACCACGTGTATCCATGTTTCTTTCAAGGGCTTACACATGTTGAGTTCATATTTCTATTAATTTTATTAATTTGCTGGAACATGTGTATGTTGGAGCTTCTCTTTCAGCCACTCGAATCTTACCCTAATAAACTGGAAGGCTTACATCACAAATCACATGTAAGTGCCGGTTTTCCCTCTCTATAGCTGGGGAACACTGACTGCTTTATCTGTGTGAGGTTCGTGCTGAACGGACGGGTCCGAGAAGCCTTGACTGTGTGAAGTCCCTGCCTCTGCGGTTTCCACTGCTGCTCCTGTTCTCCTCCCCGGCACGGGGAGATTCCTCACCTCCACCGAAGTCCTCACCGAGGGACTGTTTCCCCGCTCGCTGGTGTGAAGGGGATCCAGGACTTGCGCTCTGTTACTGAAGATTCCAGATCGGCTGTTTATCCAGGGGCCCCAGCACTTCTGTGACGCAGATTCCGCCATGAGGGCTCCACGAAGACTCGTTCCTGGACTGGCGATCGACCCTCGCTAGTGGACAGAAGTCTTTAAAACAGCAAAACATTCTTGAATTCTCCTAGGAGAATACAGAAGTTTTTTTTTTTTTTTTTTCAAATGTTCATTGAACCAAAATTTGGTCACAGATATTAACATGTTCTTTACTATGTAAATGAGCACACATAAAATAGATGTGGAATATTAATATTATGTCTAAATATACAATTATGAAACAGCACAATTTACATTTGTTTCTTTTGCCTCTTTTGTGTTTGTTCTTCTTCTATATATTTATATTAGTACATAGTAATTTTGCGAAATACCAGGCTTTGCAGTGGCATTTTCATTTTGATCGTATCTGTCCTCCACAGTCTTCCTTCACTCCTTCATCATCGTTCCCTCCTCCTCTCAGGGTCTCGCTTCCATTTTTTTGTTTTTCATGTTAGGGAACACATGTGATACTGTCTTTCTGAGCTGTGTTCCATTCATTTTCCTGCAGATGATGTAATTCCCTTCTTCTATGAGTTCTGTAACTCTGCATGGTATGTGCTCTATGCCACATTTCTTTGTCCACTGATGGCACCTCAGCGGACTCCACAGCTTGGCTATTGTGAGTTACACTGTGATAAACCACGGGCGTGCAGGTGTTCTTGTAATATGCTGACTTTAGTTCTTTGGAGTGTATATTAAGGAGTAGTATAGATACAGCTGAACAATCTTTCTTTTCTTTTTCTCCTCTCCTTTCTTCCTTCCTTTATTTTATCCTCTCCTTTGCTGGTGTTTGCAGTAGCTAATTATTTTCTGCTTGTTCAAAAGCTTTTTCCAAGAAAATTTTGATTTACAGGCATCATTATGTCCTCATAATGGACAATCTTTCTCTCTCTCTCCTTTTTGCTTTCTGCTTTTCTTCCTTCCTTCTTCCTTCTTTCCTTCCTTCCTTCCTTCCTTCCTTCCTTCCTTCCTTCCTTCCTTCCTCCCTTCCTTTCTCCCTTCCTTTCTTCCTTCTCTGTATCACAGTAAATTGAACCCAGGGCCTTTGCACTGGGCTGCATCCCCAAACCTTTTTTAATTCTTTTCTTTTTGAGACAGTATTGCTAAGTCATTAAGTTGCCCAGGCTGGCTCAAACTTGAGATCTTTCTGCCTCAGCATCCCAGAGTGTTGGACTTAACCATGTGTGCCACCACACCTGGCTCCCATTCTGATTTTGAAAGCAAAATTCTCCTGTTCTGGAACCCCAGCAGTCCTGGGGCCACTGGGCGCTCACAGGCTCTCTTAGCCTTTAAGGATTGTGTTGAGAAGTCTACTGTAATTCTAAAAAGTTTACCTTTGTAAATGTTTCCTGTTTTTCTGCAACAGTGTCTGATTTTGTCCTTGCATAGGACTTCTGTGATTCTGACCATAACTAGTCAGGGAGAAGTTCTTTTCTGGCTTGGTTTCATCCTCATGGGGACTCTGATGAGTTTATTAGAAACAGTTGTTCCACGCGTGCTCCGGTCACCCACACGTGCTTCATTTGCTTTAAATTTTAGGAATTGTAATAAAATTATGATCTAATTGTCCTGTTTTCACTTAGACACAGTCCTCCTGGGCTTTGACTCTGTGATTCCATTGCTGCTGCTTTTCAGTGAGGTCAGAACAGCTTCGGATATGTGATATCCAATCCTTAATTTTCTGTTTACCAATGGTGTTTGCAGCAGCTAATTATTTCCTGCTTGTTCAAAGGCTTTTTGCAAGAAAATTTTGATTTACAGGCATCATTATGTCCTCATTTTACTCTGCTGTACTATCTGTTCTCCACTTCTCCTCATTTCTGTGCAAAGTTGAAAACTCCGAGGCTCAGTCCTTGGACTTCCTCCAGCTTTTGTCTGCGGTAACTCTCATTAATGTCATTCAGCTTCATGACCTTTATAGACTTCCACTAATTGTTGCCAATTGTGCG